TTTTTATCCCCGGACTGTGACCTTGGTGGCGGGGAGAAGTGGCGTAAAGTAAGCTTACAAGGGAACTGGGGCTCCTGGGAAGCCTGAAACTGGTGGGGAAAAATGGGTGACGCAATAAAAATTTCGAGAAAGGAGCATGGGTAATAAAAATTTTCCTTTTTGAGAATGCATTGTCTTATATTGATTTGGAAAGATTGGTTTATGCACTCAGAAAAAATTCCCACATGAAAAATATAGTAATATCCGGAATACTGTACCCTAATCCGCTTAGTTTTTTGTTCGATGAGCTTGCGAAAACTGTTCGGTAATCATTGGCGGATGCAGGAGGAAAGGGCTTAGTAGCAGTTATTTTACTGTAGAAGAGTCTACTTGAAACCCCCTGTCGCCCCCTCCCCCGCCTCCCGTGAGAACGCCTTGGATCCGCCTATGCTGATAATCAATGCATTAACCTCCTGCCATTTAAAAATTCCCTTCTTTTTTGTTTTTTCCAAATATATTTTTCCATAAAACGTTGGATTGTTTCCGCACCTTCATCCATTACAGAACTAAATGACCGTAGACTGTGAAAGACTGCGTTTTCCAAATGAGACGCGACGGTCGAAGATTTGGTCAAGGATAACGTGCTAATTTTGCAATTGGTTCGGATGTCCAGTGGTTGCCGCGACCTGACCCAGGTCACTGCCCTCATCATGCATTATAATCAGTCTATTCCCATTTCTTATTACTGAAATACTGGTCTGTTTGTTGCGCTTCGGTCACTGCAGTCTTTTCTTATGAATTTGAGCGGATCGAAATGAATTTTGGTATTTCGGTCGGGCCCAGTTCGGAATATATGATGATGGGAATAATAAGAGCAGCAGGGAGCTTCTACTAGACGGCCATTATATAAGATTCGTCGTGCTGTAGTAGTGTGCGTGAATGCATTTTAAAATTATACACAATGACGGGTTCCCACCCTCCCCCTCCCTCGTTCCCCAGTGAATTGCCCTCCTGCAAAGTGGCCGACCCACTCACACTCACTTCAGTATCCAATTCATTCATCCACACACCCATCCCCATCCACACACACAGTCGATGTGTCTGTGCGCCATCTGCTTGTCCGTACATCGGTCTACATGCTTGTTTATGTGTGTGTGTTTGTCAGTTTGTCCGTCTGTCCTCACTTTATTATTGCTGCTGTTGAATTCTGGTTGAACTCCTGAAAATGATCGATTTTTATTTACACATATCGTGAAGATGAGGGTGAGGTTTTGCCGCATCCCACTTCCTTTTTGGAGGATTGCCTTAAATAGGGGTAATTTGCGTCTGCTTTACGGGCAGTTTTCACCCCACAGATCTGAAGGCATATTTATGCTGTTCAGAATGTCAAGATCGCTCATCATCCCGCAGCATGGAGCTCTGATGTTTATTAAGATAATCGCGTAGCAATTCACTTGCTCAGCGCTAGCTTCTTTTCATTACCAGCCATTTATTGGCTTTGTACACCTCTTAAGAGATAGTCAGTTTAATCTTTTTTTTCTTGCGTCTGGTGCAATCCAAGTCCATCTCCTTCCCGCATCTTTCTGAAACCAGGCATTCCGGAACAGGCTGTTTGTTTGTCTTCGCCATTTTAGCTAGCTGTCATCTGTGTAGTTTCTCTTTGCCAGCGTAATTCTTTTCGTCCTTTCTTACTTATCCACTGTCCACAGCGGGAGTGGAGACTTTGATGATTTTGAGGCTTTCGATAGATCTAGCCTAAGGAGGAGTATACCGATTCCTCGCGAGTGGAGCTGGCAGGGGAGATTCCCTGCTGGCAATAAACCCGATTCCGCCAACGAAGCAAAATCGTTTTTCCATCTTTCTGGGCTACGATGTGTTCAAAGTTTTTCGCCATATCGATTTCCCGGAGAAGATGGTTTATGAATTCGTCCTTCGATAACGACCTACAATTGTTGGTGCATATTGAGATATCCAGACCTTATCGTGACGGCATCAGTCCAGAACCTGAGATTCTTAGCAGCCTCTCGTTCTCGGGTTGACGACATCCGTCCAGCACTCGTTCTCCGGTTCTCCGCGTTATTGTTCCTACAATGCGTTATTTTACGTTCATTCTTTTTTTTTTTTGTTCTTTGCCGCATTACCAAGTACTGGTCAAGCTGACATTAGCAAGTTTAGTCGGACAAAACGCGGTACAGTGTCTTTTCAAGACCCTTGGAACTGCCAGAGTCCGATGGCGCTCCCAAGTCACGATGAGGTTCCACGCCGATGTTCCTCTTCTCCATGCCTAGTAAAAACACTATTAAAATCTATGTGCACATGTTAAATTGTTAAACCGCGACTAATTATACACTCTTAACGATCTTGCCCGAGCACAAAACCGCGCGCAAAAAAGCATGATCGCATCGATCAGCAGTTCTGATGCGCGCGCGTTAAATTGCTGGTTTTGGACGAAAACTTGTTGTTTTGTGAAAAGTTGTTGTGTGGAGGTTTCCTGGCGACGAAAACATTTGAGTTTCTCCGTTTCCGAAATTTTGTTTTTCCGAAATTGCAGAGAAATGAGGAATCGCTGAAAGCGAGTGTTTGCAGCTTCATCCTGAAACTCAGTTGTAATCTGATTGAAACAGCAAAATTATTGTTTTGCAACGAAACTGATACAATCGTAAGTGTATTTTACAATCATTTTTATGAAATCATTTTTTGTCTGCATAAATTTACTGCTGCTTTACCGACGACAAATTACCTCATTATTTTTTACCTACTTTTTTACTGACAATAACTTTTTTTAAAAATAGGGCTGCAGTCAGAGTTGTTAGAAAAAAAATTGAAAAAAATAGTGGGGCAGGATGAGGGAAATTAATTTCGAGGGGATCCGGGCGATGTTGGTCCTCATAATTTGTTTGTATTGTTATTTTTGCTACCGTAACCTGAACTGCGGAAACTGTTGACTATGAACTTTGAAAATCCTGATATTATTTTTAAATGGATTGCATGAGCTGTCACTGCCAGTGTCAGATACTGGCCTTCACAAGCCACGATTAATAATTGTGCCCGGGTCGTTTTCCCCCAGCAAATATTTGAATAATGTTCTAAAATTGAATAATTATTACTGTTATGAAATTTAATTTAATTGTAAAATTTAATTATTACTGCTACGAATACCATCATTATTATTGTTATCCTTATCATTATTATTATTATTGTGATGATTATTTGTCCCTGACTACTCTGTCTCATTACTAATGTAACTGTGTTACTACTGTATGTTATTAATATTATTAACATTATTATTAATATTATTGTTAACATTATCAATGTTGTTATTAATATTATTACTAGTATTATTATCAATATTATTAATATTACCGTTAATATTATTATTAATATCATTAACATTATTATTAATATTATTAACGTTATTATTAACACTATCATTATTAATAGTATCATTAATATTAATATTGTTATTACTATCACGGTTACCATTATTTATTATTATTAGTCATTGTCATCGCTACTGTTATCATTACTACCGTTATTATTATCATTGCTATTTGCATTCAGTCTTTATTTCCATCTTTATTTGATGGTAGGAGGAAAGGTGATTCAGCGGCTGAAGACAGCAAGCGTGCGCACGAACGAACACTTTTCTGACGACAGTAAAAGCATCATTTCTCTCATTTCCTCCATTCCTTGATTTGGAAAAGTGCTTTTTTTAATGCTTATGTCTGTGGAACGAAAAGGAAGGAGGGATAGAGGAAGGGGAGGTGAGTCAGGGACGGAGAACGGTCTGTCTATGTTATAAAACTAGTCCAGTAGCGCGTATAAAAATGTTCTTGTTTACTCAAAAAAAAAAAAAGATTTGCCAAGCAAAGCGTGGATTAGTACAGCATGTAAACAAATTGATACTAAAAAAAATTCGGAGTTCACGAAAATTTTGTGGCATCTTTACCCGGAAAAAACTTGTAGAAAGCAAGTTTGCACGGAATTAAAGCGGCACAAGATTAAGACCAAGTACGTCTAGGACTCACGTACGGGCATGTGAAAGGTGAACTTGCAAATATCTTCGGGAACCGGACAAGACGCATTATGAAAGTTAACGCTGGACGCCCACGGACATTAAGCATCCTTCCAATCCGTCTTGCCTGGAAGCAGCCAAGACAGATTGGAGTATGCTTAGTAAACATGTGTGATCCAAAGAATTCAAATTCAGCTTCCATGCATGCCAGATCTCAAGTACCGAACGCGTGAAAGTTTGGTTGGGAAATTTTCTGGGTCAAAAAACAGACAGCCCAAAGAACAGAAATTTTGAGAGAGTTGTTTCATATTTTTTCGCTATTAAAAGAATTTCTAAAATTAAAATTATCAAATTGTTATTGTTTTTTATATTTTTTTATTATTAAGGATTGTTTCACACTTATCAAGCTAAAATTTTTCATTATTTCACTGCTTAAAAATATTCAATTGTTTCATATTTCTTTCCGTGTTACTTGGGGTTTGCTTCAGTGCGGAACATAAATTACTGATATAAGGCTTGCTTTTTATTTTTGTTGATTCGCATTTGAAAGCCAGTTTTTGGGCAATTGCTGTGATAATGAAAGCTACAAATGTTCCAGTTTGTGCACGAACAAAACAGGACGCTGGAAAAAAGACTTTGTTCAGAACATTTCGATGGTGAATGCGTATAGCATTATCACCTGCAGTGCGATGAACGCTTTTAACAGTTATAAGCGCCGTCTGCGCTTGGGCAGAACTGCTCAAAACGCTTAGATTGACGCGCAGCTACTTACTTAAATTTTTGCGTGATTTATTTCCAATTTACAGGGCTTGCGGATTGTCGTCGCATTGCGATGCCGTCGACATCCGCAGCCAGAAAACCCGAGCGCGATGCCTTAAAAAATGATACAGTAAGTTCTCGTTTTCTCTGAAAATTTCAATTACATGGAAGAAGAAATTAAAAAGTAAAAATTTTAAAAAGGATAAAAAAACCAAAAGCTAAAATTAAAATTAAAAACTAAAATGAGATGAGTATTAGTGCAAGTTGCGGAAGCTTGGCTGATTAAGATCGATAAGTCGATGAAGGAACATGCGACCAGGGCCGGTCTTTCTCCATGATAAGAGCTGCAAAGGAGTTAGGTTTTGGCCCATAATTCCAAAGCTCTCGCTCAGTAGTTGGTTGGATTAGAAATATTATAGCAGAAGAAATGTAAAATAAATTAGAGCTGCTATAAAAATATCAAAAATCCTAGGTTCAGGTCGAAAAAATTACTGAAATTTGTTGGTAAAAATTGTCGATTATAATAGATTCGGAGCGGAAATAAAAGAGGGATGAATCAGTGCGAGCCTTCCACCTTCCAGAATTTTTAAACACTTGTTTATTCAGAATGTATTTCATTTCTTCATAGGGAATTTTACGCCTTTTTGCCGCAGTGATGCAACAAAAACCGATCAAACCGAGATCATTTGTTTGTCTGTGTGTTTGCCTCATTGTCCGACCGCACACTTCAATTCTGGAACTAGTAAAGCTAGGAAGTTCAGAAAACAAACTTTCCGACTATCCCGGAGGTCAGAAATTTGAAATTAGTTTTCAGGTCACTCTTTTTTCTGGCCTCTGACTTCAGATCACATTTAGTGGGATTTTGTGACTTCAGGGATCGAAAAAATAAGTTTGCTATTTCGCGGACAATTTTTTGAACGATTTGCAAAATCAGAAGCCCGAATTTGTTAAAAATTGTTAAAAAAAGCCATTTTTCTTTGTGACCATCGATGCTTATTTTTGACTGAGGTAAATTTCTGAAATCTTAACAACAAATATGGTTTGCAGGTAAACTTGCGGCTGATCCTGGTAAGCGGTAAAACAAAAGAATTTTTATTTGCATCCAGCTTTTCAGCAGTCGAGATCACACAGTATATATATGATCACTGGCCACCGGGTTTGTTTTTTTTCCAGCAATAAAACTTTTGATTTATATTTCGAGTTAATTTTAATCAGTGGTACCCGCGAAAAATAAATGACCGTGAAAGTGGCCCTTCGAAGGAGTGTTGCACATCGAACAGGTGCTAGCTGCTAATTTGAGGTATGCAGCTCAGGATCAAAGAGCTTGGTATTGCTGTGCACCGCGTTTGAGAACACCCCACTAAAAATATTCACATGGAATACTCATATTAATAGCTTGGGTGCGGAAAGGGTGGGATAGGGGGAGGAGGGGAGGAAGTAGGCCTGGGTTTTGGTTATTATTCATTATTTTAACTGTTTAACGAAATAACTTCTACAAAAATCGTTGAAAGAACTCAAAATCGAATATAAAGAGTGGATTTTTTCATTTTTTTTTCTTTAGAAATGCTTCGAAATATTTAAAAATCAGCTTCTGAGCAGTCAGAAAATCGATTTTTTCAGTTTGATAAATTTATGGTAACAAAATTCCCTTCTTTTTTTTGCAGAATGGGAAGAGGAACGAGTAAATTCAGCTTCAATGCTCAAACTTATTTATCACGGACGTTTTTTGCATGGAAGTGTTACACTGGGTGCATTGTCGTTACCGGCTGGTAAAACCACTGTTATGCATCTGGTTACCCGCGAAAATCTCCCGGAACCCAATTCTAGCGGTACATTTTCAGTCTTTTTTATTGCAAGACTTTCGTTTCTTTCAAGGTTTTGATTTTCACGTTGTATTATTTATCAATGAGCGATTTAAGCAAGAAAAAAAAGCGGTTACTTACGTGGCCTCCTAAAATTTGGCGTTCACGATCGGTGACGACAGGAGGTCGCCAAAAACAAAAGGGTTTGTTACAGTCTTACTTACTGTACGCCAGTAACGCTGAAGTTCTATACGGCAAGGGTTCAGACGATCGGGCAAAAATGCCTGGTTTTGACCTAGGATTGTTTATAAATTTCTTTAAATATGTGCTATGGCCATAGCAAAAAATTACTCAAAATGCAAAACATCGCCGCTTAGGCGTCCAAGGTCAACCTGGTTGCTACAGTCGGCTTATCAGGATTTTGCCGGTGCATTGTACACCCACGAGAATGTCGCTTTCTTTTTTCATCCCGCATCCAATAGTGCTGACATAATGGCGGTTTCACAACCTGAAAGTAGGAAGATGCACTTTTCTTGACGATCTTTGTCCTCAAACGGTGCTTATCTGGATGTGTCCTTTGTCAGCTTGAAGCTTAATTATTTTTTGAAGTTTTTTTATGGCTTTGCAGCGTGAAGCTTTTTTTATAAATTTTTGTTTCTTGAAGGAGTTTCCCAGTTAAGCCATTTCCGTAATATTAAAATGGAAGGCCTGGGAATTACAGGGTCATATTTTTAAAAGCAATTTTTCTGCTTCATCGCTTAGCTGTAAACACAGACAGAGCTCGGCCTTCAGAAGCAGAAATAAGAATCATCAGTACAACCTCGTCGCGCCCGCTGTGAACGGAATGTGCATTTGTCTCTAATTTACATGCTTCATTTGATGCCTTCTACCATTTATTCACTCTGCATCGCTCTGCGTATTTTTCAGATAATTTAAAAAAGGCAAAACGACGCTCGTGCTGCCGATGTTGTCCGTCATGAAGCATTTTGCGGAACAGTTCCTCCGCGGAATCACCCGTTACGGTGTTTTTTTACTGACTGCGAAATCAACGCGATCCTAGTGCATTTCATCGGTGATTACCAATTCCCGTTGTTGTTGTTGCTACTGTTTACGGTTGCTGCCAATAACATTTTGAATTTGTCCGCGAAAAACTGATGGAGCGGAAGGTGGTAGGTTATGCGGAAACCTGACACAACTCCGATTTTACTGTGAATAATCCTGGCTACGTTTCCTTTTGTACGCACATAGCATCTCATGTTGCATTTCTGTACTTCTCGCCCATGTAAATGTTTGGAAAAAAAAAACACTCAGCTGTTTGCGGCTCATATAAAAGTGAAATTACCAGTTCACGCGATGCGCCTCAAGGGTCTGATGTACTGTTTACAACCGGCCAAGTGAAATCGGCGCTCCGAATGTGAATATTTCATTGACTCTAAAAAATATTTGAGTTAGGAAACAGTGACCGCTAGGGCGAAATGAACTTACCGCGGAACAACTACCAGAGGATTTTTCTTGACGCATCCGAGAAAAAGCGTGTCCCCTTCCCCCCACCCAAGATTTTGCAACTACTCAAGAGCTTGCGCGCCAGTCCGTTCTTTACCCCTGCTTGCCCCTCTTCCCGATGGCATGATGCCGGAACCAAAAGGACAGACATTATGTGACCACTAATTGAAATTTCAAAGTGCCCAATCACAAGTGGCCGATGCGTTATCGGTCCTGGAAATTTCTGTGTTGTGCATAAATGTGTTACATTTGTCCAGATGCTAAAAAGCCTCGCAAAATTTCCCAGTCCTCGTTGTTTTTTTTTTTTTTTCTGAATTGTATGAATACAGGGCAGTCCTGACTCCATCCAGCACTGCGTGAAATTATCAAGAATACTGCAAAAAAGTGATCTATTGCTAGCAGGACCGCTATCGCATTTTGACGCTATACTAACGCACGCCCGCTCGCAACTACCGCTTTCCAGTATACCAAGACCGCTCGGGCTGTTGGGTATTCTATGTTAGTGATGTTAGTGGGATGCTTCCGAATACCAAGCGCAGCTGTGCCGGGCACTTCCATCCTAGACCAAATCGATTTGTGAAGAATGGTCCACGCATTTGTGTGGAAATAAGCTTTAATTTCCACCACGTTTCTAGAGATTAACAGTATGTTTGCTCCAGCAGCTGCACAATTAACCTGTGATATCTGCTGGAGACTTTTAATCCATCGTTCGGATCAAATTGGCTTTCACTTCTCATTTTACTCCATGTCTCCTATGAAGGGTAAAGTCTGATCTCAAATGTGGCCGGATCCCAAATACGTTTGAATCTGGCTTGGTCCCAAATCTCAAAAACGTTTGAAAATGCTGCAAAGATTCAATTTTTCCCGGGAAAAAAATGTGTGCATGTAACAACCACTTGTAATTTTTTTACTTACAATACCCCGCAGAAAAAAAAAAAAAAAACAATAAATATCAATCTTTGAGACAATGCGTGGATATCGTACATCCGGGAACACGACGCATATCACATAATCCATAAATATTTCATTAATAGTAAATTCATCCAAGAAGCTAAACTGATACAACGTTTCAGCATAAAAGAATCTCTCAAAAAAGGACGGGAAAACAATTTGCAATCGAAAAAATGCGTACAATTCATTTGTGGTCTACCAACAAAAAAAAAAAAAAAAACATTTACAACGAGCACAAATAGAACATACATACCACTGAATAAAATAAAAAACATGCAGGCCCATAAATGAAACTTTTTAAGATCCTTCTATTTTTTTTCTTTCTTTTGCTCCCGCTCCCCCGAACTTACAAAATTTGGAAATACAAATGTAACTCCCTAAAGAAAATAATCTAATATTCAGTTCAAATTAAACAATTTCATTAACAAATTTCTTTTCATGTACTTAACCGGCAAAAAAAAGAGAAAACCTAGAATACTTTCCCCGTTTTCTCAAACGGAAAAGCAATAAAAACCGGGAATTATTGTGAATGGGGTATGCAAAAACCGAAAATTTACAGTTGCAGAAATCAAACATCACGAAATTCAGACACAGAACACCGACTTCTAATGCGCAGCGAATCCACCTTTCAATCCCTCCTATCTTTTCCTCATGAGAAAAAGAGCTAACCAAAACTCTGAGATCGTCAACTAACAAAAGCCTGAACAACCAGCACGAATATGTCCCTCTTAACAATGTTACTAGGGTGTTTCCATCAAACGGCTGCAGCTAATGCCCTCACGCCCGTTCGATCTTGGGGTTGCCCATCTCCTGTAGGTACCTACTGTTAGCCCAATTTTTGTGCGCTACCCCTTTTGGAATCCCACTGTGCAGTCGTTTACTCCCCCTACAGGTACTATTCACCAGTGTGCGACGCCCAGCAGTTATTAGCAAAAAGAAAGCATGCCTCGCTCACCAGATTTTATTTTCTCCCCCGGTCGCAAAGATACCCTGCACGTCGCTCATCTGACGCAGTGGCTGACACAATGATTACAAAAGACCGAATCATCCACCGGGTGGATCATCGCTGACATCTGGACCCTGCTCTCTTCAGTTTTTATCATCGACCTTGTTTCGTATCCGTATGTCACTGCCTTCACCACAAGTGTTTGGAGAATTGGGAGAGTCTTTTCTGGTTCGACATTTTGAAGATATCGATGATAATGATGTTGTGTGTGTGAACTTTACGTCAACCGATGCTCCTTCTATGTGCAATCACTGGCTGAAGACTGTAACGAACTGTTACTTTTTGGTTAAGATGGACGTAACTGCCAACTTTTTTGTATTGTAATTACAATACACCGTATAATAATAATTTCCTAATGAAAAAATAAAACATTTCAAAGAAACACTATCGCAATGCATGCTATTTTCATT